CTTTGCAGAAAAAGCTATTGAAGGACGGCTTTTCAAAATCACCCTCTGTTCAGTAGTTTGCCCCTGTGGTGCTCCAGTTCAATAACAGACTAGCAATTGCAGGTGCAAGAACATCTACTGTGTGTAAACGTTGTACACTCCCTGATAATATGCACCATACGCTGTAAGGGCCAGGACATGGGTGGTGACTGGGACAGGCAGAAAAGCAAGAGGAGCATGGTGGTGTGAGGCCAGGTCCTGCAGCTTAGTCAGGCTAGAGGCTGGTGGTGTGGTCAGCAGGCCAGGGCCAGGGCCGAGGCAGCAGGCAGTCCAATGTTGTACAGGTGTGTGAGAGAGAGCAAGGTCCAGAACAGTCCAGTTGTCTGATGCCAGGTAAGGAGTCAGATGGACCAGATGGACCAGACAAGAGGAGGCTGGAGCAGTGCAGGAACAACTGTAGCAAGCAAGACCCCACAGGAGCAGGCCTGGAGCAGACTAGGGCATGCAGGATCAAACAGGAGCAAGGCAGGAACAGACTGGAACAAGGCAGGGACTAACCAGAGTAGGGCAGGAGAAACTGGAGTGCACTGGAGTAAGGAAGGAACAACTGGAGTAGGGGTCAGCGATACAAGGGCCAGAGCACAGGGAGTCACCAGGACGATTGTGTTGCTGTGCCAAAGAACAGCAGTGCCAGAAAGCCTTTTATGCTGCCCTTCAGGACCTTCAGCTGCACTGCATAACTGCTCTTGAGTTGCTCCCTGGAAGAGCCTGCAGGGGTGTTCCTGGTTCTGCAGGTACTTTCAGGGTCACTCAGGCCCTGATCCTGACCTACGCTAAATAAATAAATAGCAGGCAGCCCTCTGGGGCTGCCTGCACTTCCTGTTCTGAAAAAGTCCTGTGGGAAAAAGTACCTCCTGGTGGCTTCCCTTGAGCTTTAACCACAGTGCAGGAAGCTGGGGAGCTGCAGGCTGCCAGTGAAAGCCAGGACACTCCCAGATGTGGCTCAGCCATCTCCCAAGTCATGTAGGCACAAGAAACCCTGAAGCCAACCCGTGAGAATTTCTCCAAAATGCTCTTCTCCTTTGAATCGCTTTCTTTAAGCAATTTCTTTTCTACCCAATTGAATGGGAACTTTCAGAAGATGAAGGATAAAATTTTGGCATGACGGTAATGCAAACATCTTACATGAGAGAATACAATCATTTGTCAAGAATTGGATGCTTTGACAAGAATGGCTGTTTTGCCCTGCCTTTGATCTATGGCAGTAGCTCTCTGGAAGCTAAAAGAAATGAAAATTTCACTCAGAGTACTAAGGAGGGGGTGGATTAATTCCATCACTGTCCCTTCTCTTTATGCCAGTGCAGGTCATGTTCCGGGAACTGGCCTGGTTGCTGAAAACGGACAGGTTCCTCTGCAGAAGTGATGACAAGAGCCCATGACTAGATTCCTCCTCAGTGTCTGATGCTTAGAGATGGCAAGCATTGCAATTTCCATACTGAACGGTGTGAGGCTGATCACCAGGTGTCTTTGTTTTCAGGGATGTCTCCTAGTCCATAAGTATCATTTCCCTGTGGCTGGCTTGCGTGCCATCCCGGTAAACTACAATTCACCGGTGTCTGTGGTTAGAATTAGGCTGCAAGCACACATGCTGGTGTCGATGGTGGACAGAGGGGAAAGCCCTATTGCTGTGTCCTGTCCACACACAATGGGCTTGATCCGTAGAAAGGTTTCATCCCATTTGACCCACACAATGCACCGCACACATGCGCCCGTGCTCCACTTCTGCCTGCTCCTGATGGACACTTGCTCCAGTTCTCTTCTAGCTGCACTTAGATGTGAATGTGGACCTGCAACTCTAAGTGTATCCAAATGTGTGTCCGTCCAACTGAGAATAATGCTGGATGATATCCTATTCCAGATACCTATCCAATTTCTGTCGTGGTTCTCTCCATAAACAGATCTCCATATATGGATTGGGGCACATGCTTTCACAGCTTAAGGGAGTTTCGGAAGTAGTTTGTGATGTGGAAGGAGGTCAGCTGTTCCAGGAAAACACCTTTTTGCTGGGCCTGCACTAGCAGTTGCATCTGCCTAAAGCTTGTGGCCACAAAACGAGTGAACCAGGTTATAATATTTAGGTGCCAGGGTCTGCCAATACCAAGCTGACAGGGGACGAGAAAGGGGTCAGGTGAAGGAGCCTGCCATGCTCTCTGTTACCCCTTGTATACAAAGCCGCAGCAGCACCGATTATTCTGCAGTGTCTCCCCCAAGCTTTATTCCGCCAGCTATTTTCTATTCCTTCCAGCATCATCTGGTGTGTGTTTTACAGGGACTTGTAGATGCTCTTCCAGTTATTTCCCCTCCGGGGCTCATAAAGTCCATCTGTTGGAGGAGCCGCTGGCCAGCTCCAGGGGAATTCCCAGCCCTTGGTGTGGTCCCTTGCTCTGATGAGTTGCAGATTCCAGTGCAGCGTGTGTTCTGCTACACTGTTTGTTTTGACAGCTTAACAATGCCCGGTTCAGCAGCTGCAGGTGTGCGCAAAGATGCCTCAGCATGGGCTCAAAGGGAAGTGTGTGCAGCAACAGAAACAGCCACAGCCAGTATCCCAGTATCCTTGGAAAGCATTTCAGCCCAGGCTTTCAGTAACGCCTTTCCAAAATGTGTGTTTAACAAAGTTTCACAAAGAGGCGTGCATTAGATCAGTGTGTGCGCGCGCATGTGCATCTGTGTGTGGATGCAGAGCTTAAGTGGAAAGCAGGCTGATGCATCTGTTCCTTCCGTTACCCGTAGTTCACTCTCCATGTTGCTGTCCCTGGATCCTCTGACCTTTGCTGTGCTATGTGCATGTAAAGCTGGTGTGCATCATGGTTAGAGCTGGTCTGGGGCTCAGGAGACGAGGTCCTAGTTGTCACTCTTCCATGAAGCTCACTGGGTGTCATTGGGCCAGTCATGGACTCTCAGCCTAGCCTACCTTGCAGGGTGGCTGTTGGGAGGATGAAATGGAGAGGAGGAGACCCTTGTAAGCTGCTTTTGATTCTTTGCAAGAGGAAGAAAGGTGGGGCACGAATGTAATGTAGTAGCAACCACCGCCACCACTGCCACCATCGCCATTACCAGGTTGTGGCAGCGACACCATTAATGTAAGTGATGAGATGCATCACAGAACTAACAAAGGGCCAATTAGCACTGAGATGACAGAATGGCTGGGTAGCACAGAGCTGGATCCTGGGTTTTATTGCATTTGGATATGGATCCGTATTTTACTGCATTTTACCTCAGTTCTTCTTCCAAGGAGCTCAGAAGCAGCGTACTTGGTTCTGTCCCTATGTGCCCCTGAATAATGACCTCACAAAATAAGCTTAGAGAGTAGCCGAAGGTTCCCCAGGGAGGAATTTGATCGGAACCTTGCCAGTGCTAAAAACATTGCATGAGACTAGATTTGCAAGGGAGCCTTCAAACCAGAAGGCCAGATTCTCTTTCTCCTGGTCCCTCCCTTGATATTTACCTACCTGTTTCCAGTCTTAAAATGGCATAAAGTGCTTTGCCATCATTAGCTCATCCATCAGCAGCACAGCCCTGCAAGGGAGGGAACGCTCTGTGTATTAGTCCGCCTAGAGGCACGGGGAAATGAGCTGGAAAGATGCTTTGCACATCACAAAATGGGCACTCTTCAGCGGCTGCTTGGCTACAGCGCAGCAGCACCCCAAGACTAATGCCCTAATGGAAAAAAAAACAATTCCCACCCCTTGAGAAAGAGCCCGGGGACTCGGCTGCCCCTCATGGGCCCTCACTGTACATTTCTGGGGAGCTGAACTGTGTTAGTCAAGAGAGAGATGCTTTGGGAAGCCAACCCAGATCATTGTTTGTTTAACCAAGAGGCAGCTAATTAAGAATGAGACATTCAGCAATCAAACAGTGCCCTAAAGCTGCTGTGCATTCTGTGATGTCTCTGCAGGGTCTCTGCAAGGATGGAGGGTCATTTAAAATTTAAAATGCATATTTTTGTGCATACGAATATTCTACTAAAATTGATTAAGTCATGGCCTGCAAGCCTCAAAACTGGAGTATTTGGCTTTGTTTTAGCAGGCAGTTTGATTTTGCAGGCTGGTGCCTGTCAGCTGATGTGGAAGGCTTGCTCCATCCACTGCTGTTGAGGGGTAACAAGGCAATGGCCAGGAGTGCAGGAGTGCCCCACTGCAGCGCTTGCACCAGGGCTGGGACTTGGTGGGCACGTGGGACTCATTGTGAGTTGGGTCCAGAGATGCCCTGCTGTCCCGCGCTGCCTACTCTAGGAGTGGCTCTCTGTGTGTTTTCCATCAGACGTTTCCACACCCGTTGCTGGATCCTTCTAACTAGGGATGCTGCTGGTGGTGAGTTGAATGTGGGACATTCAACATGTAAAGCACATGTTCTTCCACCACGGTCCTGCTTCTATTGTGTTCCTGACTACAGTGGTGTACAACATGCTCATTGGAATTTTATTTTGCCAGTGTTTCTCCTACTCCCATGGGACTTCAGTAAGTCCTGCTTCTTGTCAGGGAGTCCCGGCCTCCACATCAGATCCAGTGAGAGCAGCAAGGAAGGAATTGCACTGCACTGCTTGGAGCAGCAATGGAGATA